AGTGAGCAGGTCTCTGTGACATGACATGATGACTGAGGTTAAAGAGCCAGCAGGTCTCTGTGACATGATGACTGAGGTTAAAGAGCGAGCAGGTCCCCATAACATGATGACTGAGGTTCAAGAGTGAGTAGGTCGGTTTCGCCCCTGTGGCGCAAGTGGCTAAGGTGCCAGCCATGTACACCCAAGGTGGCAGGTTCAAATCCAGCCTGGGCCCACCAAACAACAATGATGGCTGCAACCAAAACATAGCCGGGCGTTGTGGCAGGTGCCTGTGATCCCAGCTACTTGGGAGGCTGAAGCAAGAGACTCGCTTGAGCCAGGAGTTGGAGGTTGCTGTGAGCCGTAATGCCACGGCACTGTACCCAGGGGGACAGCTTGAGGCTGTGTCTCAAAAAAAAGAGGAGGTCTTTGTGACATTTTAGTTCCAGCTCAGGGCACACCGAGCCAGTCTAGAGACATGTACTTCCGCTCCATCTGGTAGCAGCATTTCCCAGCAAAACCCAGTCACTATTGATGTGTATAATTGATCAGTTTAAAACTGTGACTAGAAGAAGCCTTGTTGAGGCAGTAAGGCATAACTTCATTATATCCTGCATGAAGAGCCAGCATGTGGGGATGTGGCTGATGGGCCCCATTTCAAGGCTGATTCTGGTAATGATAATGTTTAAGTAGCATTGATTGTTCTCTAATTGAATTTTTCTTTCTTTAGGCCTCTTCTGAAGAGCTAAAAGCTGCCTACCGGAGGCTGTGTATGCTTTACCATCCAGACAAGCACAGAGACCCGGAGCTCAAATCACAGGCGGAACGACTATTTAACCTTGTTCACCAGGCTTATGAAGGTCGGTGGGGGGCTAGGCTCTGTAGAAACATCCTGGTAGCAGATATTCGATTTTTAAGAGACTTGATTTGTAGAGGATAGAAAAAGAGAGTCCTTAGAGGTGTGTAAAAGGGTGGTTAGTGTAGTACTTTTTACTGACAGGGTCCTTTGAAAGAGTAGTATTTTGCTTTGGAAATCAATATGTGTCTAGTACGTAGAAAATGAGGGTCCAGGTGAAGGCAGAGCTGTCTCCGCGCGGGGATGCTCAGGTTCTAAATCGTTCACCACTTTTCTCCTAAAGGGAACTCGTAGAGGTAAAAGGCAGATCGTTACTAGGAAGCTTCCTTTGTTCTCTTTTTTGTAAGAAGATTCAAGAATGTGTTTTTCCATCTAAAAGTGATTTTATTGGTTCTGCTATATTCAGTTAAAGGAATATTCTAACAAGAGAAAGAATATATTAAGAAGGCTAGTAGGAAACAGAACCAAATAATTTACATTTTATACTTCCTTCTTCTATATATCTTATATACAGGAGAAGCTCCATAGCTGATCACCTCCTTAAGCTGACCTAATTTTCATAGAGCAGATGTGCACGGCATGTGCGTATCAGCCCGCAGGCCTCGTTCCTTATGTTGACCACCTCTGTGTGTTGACCAGTTTGTTACTGTCCCTTGGGTGGTCAACTTACAGAGGTCCTACTGTATAGGCAGAAAATTTGGTGATATATTTGTTTATAAAATATTGAAGTGCCATGATTGCATTAATGTACACAGCTATAATTTAATAAAACAAAAATATTGAATTTAAAGCGAGGCACAGTGACTCATGCCTGTAATTCTAGCATTTTGTGAGGCTGAGGTGGGTGGATTGCTTAAGCTTAGGAGTTCAAGACCAGTCTGAGCAAGAGCAAGACCCTGTCTCTACTAAAAATAGAAAAACTAGCTGGGCATTGTGGCAGGCACCTGTAGTCCCAGCTACTCTGGAGGCTGAGGCAAGAGGATCACTTGAGCCCAGGAGTTAGAGGTTGCACTGAGCTAGGACACCAGGGCACTCTAGCCAATGGCCTTAGAGTGAGACTATATCTCAAAGAAAAAATTAAAGTCACTAATGAGTGCCAAGTTCATATTTGGGATGATGAAAAGTTCTGGACATAGTGATGATAATTACACAACATTCTAAATGTACTTTATGCTGTTGAATCATAAGCTTTCAAATAGTTAAAAGGGTAAATTTTATGTCATATGTTTTCTACAACTGAAAAAAAAAGTAAAGGCTCGGCGCCTGTGGCTCAAGTGGCTAAGGCGCCAGCCACATACACATAAGGTGGTGGGTTCAAATCCCCAGCCCAGGCCCGCCAAACAACAATGATGGCTGCAACCAAAAAATAGCCAGGCGTTGTGGCGGATGCCTGTGGTCCCAGCTACCTGGGAGGCTGAGGCAGGAGACTCGCTTGAGCCCAGGAGTTGGAGGTTGCTGTGAGCTGGGATGCCACGGCACTCTACCCGGGGGGATAGCTTGAGGCTTTGTCTCAAAAAATAAAATAAAATAAATAAATAAAAATTAAAAACATATGAAATCACTCTTAAAATATATGACAAGTAAAATAAGCTGTTTATTCCAGAACCTATTGATGATTTGCTCCTTAGACTAAAAATTAGGTAACATAATTCTTTAGAAAATCATAAAGCTGTCTCACTGTAGATATATAGCTCAGTGCGTTTCACTTCATAGTTGTATTGAAAAGTTAGATCTTAATGACCAATAAAAATCAAGCTGTAGTGTATGATAAAAGTATGTGGTTGGCCTGTTATTACCAAATTTAACTCTACTCAAACCACCTATATGGTGTCATCACCAAAAGTATCTTACTTTTATTGTATTCTGTTGACTAAATGGCTTCACTAATTTTCCTTTAGTGTTTTGGAGATTTGGAGTTAACAGAAAAACCCTAGCAGTGCTTGTGAAAATGCAGCAACAGCAGGCCCAGCCTCCTTGTCCTTAGCCTAAAGGGAGACCAAAGGAAAATAGGGATAAATAATTCCTCATTAAATCCTGGACATTAACTCAAGAAGTTTGGCGTCCACATTTTTCCGATGGTCAGCATTTCTTTTTGCTCAATAGATTTAAATATGGATAGAATCATTTTCACTGCCAAGGTCTTACCAGAAGTTGGTAGAGGGGAGGAGGAAGATAATGACCCTCGGCCTCACTGACCTTTAGTTCAGTCTGGGTGTCCTTTGAATAGCTCTCACCCGTACTGAGAAATCCTTTCCTGATGTACTGCCAGTGATGTGGTTGACAACACTATGAGAGGTGTTTGTCTTTTTAAATGATTTATAAAGACCAGGTATGGTGACGGGCACCTGTAGTCCTAACTGGTTGGGGGGTAGGCACAGGAGGATCACTTGAGCCCAGGAGTGCGAATGTAGCCTGGGCAGCATAGCAAGACCTTGTCTCTGGGCTGGGCACAGTGGCTCGTGCCTATAATCCTAGCGCTCAGGAGGCCCAGGTGGAAGGATTGCTTGAACTCAGGAGTTCGAGACCAGCCTAAGCAAGAACAAGACCCTGTCTCTACTAAAATAGAAAAATTAGCCAGGCTTGGTGATGGGCACCTGTTGTCCCATTTGAACCCAGGATTTTGAGGCTGATGTAAGCTAGGCTAACGTCCCTGTCCCTAAAAGGAAAGAAACAAGAAAAGGCTGGGCGCCTGTAGCTCAGTGGTTAGAGTGCTGGCCCCGTGCACCAGGAGTTATAAGGTTCAAGCCCAGCCAGGGCTTGCTAAACAAAAGAAGAAGAAGAAGAAGAAAAAAGAAAAAAATGATTTATAAATAAATAAGAGAGGTACACATAAAAATGTAGACTATCTTTTTAATTAATAAAACACTGCAGAATAAATAAAACATTTTTCTAGTATCAGATTTTATCCGTAGTTTTATATTAACCTTCTTTAGAAACTAGAATCAACTCTTTCGAGCCAGCTTGATTTTATACACAGTGGCAGAAACCTAAGGTGTTTTTTTAAATTCACCTGTCCTGCAGTGACACAGGAGCCAGTGCAGCTTCCTACATGGTGTGCCTGGTACACTGTGTGCCTGTACCTGACATTTAAAGAGTAGCTTTGACACTGAGACAGTCCAACTTTTGTCCTTTGTAGCCGCCTATAAACACATCGTGGCTGCATCAGAAAAACGGTTAGGAATCAAGACAGGGAAGAAATGAAGAGGATCTCTAGAAGATTGTGATTGGATGGGGGGAACAAGAAGAGGTAGATTTATCTAATGACACTATTGTCAGTGTTTTCAGAGAGGACTGGAAGGTGGGTCTTATGCTGTGTAAACATGTTTGATTTTTAATTTGCAGTGCTTAGTGATCCCCAAACCAGGGCCATCTATGATATATATGGGAAGAGAGGACTGGAAATGGAAGGATGGGAGGTAAGAAGCTGTGCGTCTGGTGTCCCAGAAAAGTCATTCAACAAGCCCGAAACCTTGCCATCTGTGATAATGTCTGTGAGAGTTTTTAAAGACGTTAGAGTCCCTTGTGTTATAGTTTTGGAGGTTGAATTGTAGACTTGGCTTTGCCACATTGTAACTTTGTGAACTCCGAGCAATTCAAGTATCTGATTTGTCCTTAGTGTCCTAATCTGTCAAGCGAAAAGGAAGAAGAATGGACTATAGTAGTAATTTTTAACCCAGGGGCTGGGGTGGGAGCTGGTGCGGCGGGGGGCTGGTGGGAGGTTTCTTCAAGGGGGCGATTCTGCCTACACACTCCCTTCCACCCTCCACAGTTGGGCGCCTCTCTCCCCCACCGCTTTTCAGAAAAGCTTCTCTATCTGTGCTTCTGGGAATGGGTTATGCATGTTTGTGCTTCCGGGGATGTGTTAGGCATGGGAACAGAATGGAAGCAGAGAAGTGTTGAGGGCTGCTGCATTTCCTTATCTGTGATGACCCTTCTGGTTCTGAGGTACGATAAAGTTGTCAGATACAATGTGGGAAACAAAATATATAGCAAGTATCTATGAAATTGGTTGCCCTGGGCAGCCTTGCTGTGTGAGAACAGTCACAAAAATTCAGATAATTTGTTTTCTTTCGCTTTGCCACTGAAGAGCAGTAGAGCCTTGGGCAAGTCATTGGGCTGCTGGTACTTTCGTGGTTTTATCTGAAAAATGAGTATGAAAATGAGTCGTAGGTCGTAGGCAGCGCCCATAACTCAGTGGGTAGGGCGCTGGCCCCATACACCGAGGGTGGTGGGTTCAAACCTGGCCCTGGCCAAACTGCAACAAAAAAATAGCCAGGCGTTGTGGCAGGCACCTGTAGTCCCAGCTCCTGGGAGGCTGAGGCAAGAGAATCGCCTAAGCCCAGGAGCTGGAAGTTGCTGTGAGCTGTGACGCCATGGGACTCTACCGAGGGGGATAGAGTAAGACTCCGTCTCGACAAAAAAAAAAAAAAAAAATTAGTTGTGAAACTCTAAATTGCTACAGGGATATAAGGAAGTTAAAGAAACTTGGTTCTTTAGCCATGGTGTAGTCTGTTAGTAACAGGGATTGGCTCTCACTGAGTTACTGTCTCCATCATGTGAGGGTCCCCTGGAGTCTTCCAGTGTTTCGTCTCAAGTGTTTGTGCCTCTCCCAGTTCCAGCATGAAAACCTTCTAAAGACCTTCAGATAAGGAGTGGAAGAGTTGCAAAGTGGGGCTCGATTTCTCTCCACCACTTGAGTCCGTGGCTTTGGACCACACCATTCTACTTACAGCCCTACACAGGGAACTGCAGCTTCTGACATTGAATACCTGGGAGGTCTGCATGAAAATCACTGAGACATGGGAAGATCTGGTGACCCTGGATCTGAGGCCCCTGTCCCGTAGACTGGTCTGGCTGGCCAGGCCGTCCCAGTCCCCGCACGCTCTGTTGTGTCACATCTAGCCTTTCATTCATCATGCGCCCTTCTGGCTCCAGTAGGCAGCGGTCTGTGTGTGCGTGGCCTGGCTTCATGGAAGCAGCAGTGCCTCCTGTCACTGAACAAGGGCATTAGTTCTCTGTAGTTATAGGCTGAGGCCAATAGCTTAGCATTTTCTCTTCCAGAAAGAAATATAGAATCCTGTTGTAGTTATTTTCACCCCATACCTTATATACCACTTTAAAGCTTCCTTGTTTTTAAGGATGTGGGTGAGTTGCAATTTTTAAGGCAGCCATTGGAGCCACTAAAAAGCTGTAGAACCCCATGACATATCTCCCCTGCAGAATTTAGGCTGTTCCAGCAGCAGCATCCTGATTTGGAGGGAGTGATGGGATCTTCCAGCAAAATATCACATGGTTTCCTCTCACCAAACCTGATCACCTTCCCTTTAGAAACATTGTGATTATGAAAGTATGTAGGCATTTTCTCTTAACCCTGAGGTTAGGCAAAAGAAAAAAAAGATTAAAATACATAGGCATTGGCTCAGCACCTGTGCCTCAAGCGGCTAAGGTGCCAACCACATACACCTGAGCTGGCGGGTTCGAATCCAGACCGGGCCCACCAAACAACAATGACGCTTAAACCAAAAAATAGCCGGGCATTGTGGCAGATGCCTGTGGTCCCAGCTACTTGGGAGGTGGAGGCAGGAGACTCACTTGAGCCCAGGAGTTGGAGGTTGCTGTGAGCTGTGATGCGACAGCACTCTACTCAGGGGGACAGCTTGAGGCTCTGTCTCAAAAAAAAAAAAAAAACTACATAGGCATCTCATTGCCAGGAAATAGAGGCAAAAAAACAAACCATGTAGACAGTTGCAGGTGGTGAATGGATAAACTTTATATTCATTTTTTAGTGAACTACTTAAGGAAAAATAGGTTTTCCTGGATAAATTCGCTTTTTTTTTTTCATATTGATACTGAGCTCTTATTGCAAGATAAATATACCTTCAAGGAGGACTAAATGAAGGTAGCGCCCCAGATATTTGCTCGGAGATATATTCGTGCTTAACAATAGGAAAATTGAGCCCCTTGTTGATGCTGTACAGGAAGCGTCTCCCTGAATTTGTGCATTTTGTGGAGCTGGCACAGTGGCCCTCACAGAGTCCCTGTGCCTGGCTGGACTGTCTCCCGTGAGGGTCTCCTGCTGCACCACCTGCTTTCACTGCGGGGAGGAAGTTGTGTCCCCTGGGGCTGTTGCTAGTATTTTGAAGGGTATACGTTTACCACATAGTTATTGAGCTACACATTTTGGGAGTCAGTGAAGAGTGAAGGGCGTTGTTAATACCCTGAGTGTCTGAGATGCCTTCAGTCCGGAGATCTGAAAGTACTCAGCAGACATGGACGTCACTGCCCGCCCCGCAGTACTGTCACCTGCAGTGGGGGACACTGAAGAGGAGACTGGAGCTTTCTTTAGATTGCACAAAATATTGGCCCTGTCTTCAGTCATTAGGGACGTTTTCAGTCTTTTTTTTTTTTAACCTTCAGGAGACTTTATTATCTCTGGCATGATTCCAACAGAATGAGGTGCAACCATTCCTGACTTACAAAACCAGACATTTTAGTTCTTAAAGTTAGTTGGCCATGCTCACGCGGATGCCCGCAGTGGAAACGAAATTGGTCTTTGCCTCAGAATAGCAAAGATCCAACTTTGAACTGTGATCATTTTGACAGTGCTGAGTCTGGTAATGGCCGGTGAGTGGGATGGGAGCCCCGTGACTCACCTCCTGCAGGTGTCACTGTCGGGTGTCAGCGCGCATGTAGAGTCCGTGCGTCTGCCTGGGTCAGCTGCAGTTTAGTGTTTGTCTGTCGTCCGTCCTTCGCTTTTGCCCACCTCTTTGACATCAGTCTTGCGGTGCTTGAGAAAGTCAGCCTCTATCACAGTCTGTGATGTGGTCCAGACAAGACTTAGAACTATCACAGCACAGAGGAGACATGACCAAATGCAGGGTGGTGTCTTGGACGGGACCTGGAACAGGAAAGAGATGTTAGTGGAAAAACTGGTGAAATTCAAAAAGTCTGGGTTTAATTAATAGAAGTGTGGTGATAACTGGTTTCCTAGATTTGACAGATGTCTCCTGGTTACAGAAGATGTTCACATTAGGGGAAGTTGGGTGGAGGGGATACTAGAACTTTCTGTACTATCTTTGCAACTTTTCTAAAATTCTAAATAATTTTATAAAATTATCCCAAAATAAAAAGCCTAGCTAGAATGATAGCATTTTGAACTGCACAACACCTTGGGAAGTGTGATTTAACGCTTCTCATTTGATACAGGAGACCCGAAGCTTAGAGAGGTGGAGTGACTTGCCCAGTGTCTCCCAGGTTGGAAGTCGTGTCAGAGACAGAGATTCTAGATGTCTGTCCTGTTTCTGTTAGGCCACCCAGCTTCAGGGTATCTCCTTATTCCTTTCTTTGATAAATCCGGTTTCCTGGCTGGCGCAGGGAGAGACCTAGTTGATGAATGGTCCAGGTGAGCAGGATAGTTGTATAGATTCACGAGCTGCAGATGACACGCTCTGTTCAGGAAAGCATTGAAAACGTTGAGTATTTACCAGCTGTGACGCAGCTTAGGACGCTTATTCCCAGATCGTCTATCCAGGGTTGCTGAGTTGGAGATGAGCAGCTCACACTGGCTTAGTCCTGTTCCGCTCTCCAGTGTCAGGTCTCTGTTTGAGGAAGGATGTAAATAAGGCTGGCAGAGGCCCGTGGGAGCCAGTGAGATGCCCTGCCCAGCCAAATGTCTGTACGGCTCTAGAGGAGCCAGCGAATGACTTTGTGGTTAGCTCTGATTGTGCACCAACTGTTTGCAAAACTTGTGTAAAGTAGGACTGGAAACGGAACGACCTGGCGCCTTTGGATTGTCTGACTCTGTAGCTACTGCAGAGAAGAAATAATTTGCAGCCATTAATTCAGCCTGTAAAGGTTTTAAAAAGCTAGAATTCCTCAATTTTTTTTTTTTTGCTATAGCTTCTTTGGAACCTGATACTTTCCAGTTTTTTAATTTCCTGTAGGGTTTGAGTCAAGATTTAAATTCCCAGAATCTTACAGATCTTTTTGGGGGTGGGGAGGAGAAATATATATAGTAGTATTTGGGCATATTCTTTTTGTTTGTTTGTTTTTGAGACAGAGTCTCACTCTATCGCCCTCAGTAGAGTGCTATGGTGTCACAGCTCACAGCAACCTCCAGCTCTTGGGCTTAGGCGATTCTCTTTCCTCAGCCTCCCAAGTAGCTGGGACTACAGGCACCTGCCACAACACCCAGCTATTTTTTTGTTGTAGTTGTCGTTGTTTGGCAGGCCTGGACTGGGATTGAACCCGCCAGCCCCGGTTTATGTGGCCGGTGCCGTACCACTGAACTACAGGTGCCGAACCTGTATGGGCATAGTCATGGGTCTGTTTATATCACTGGCTAAAGTTACGGGCATTCAAACTTTAATCTACATTTTTGAAACTAGCATCCCGTTAAATAGAATATTGGGTTATGAAGTCTTCTTATCCAGGTTGGGGTTGCCTCCTTAGTCTGGCTGTGTTGAGGAAGTACTTCCCATCCAGACTCACAGTCTCACGCCTAGACCTTGCCCTTGGTGATGGGTGGCTTAGGTCACTGTTGGCAGGGGCCAGATAAATCACAGGTCCACTGAATTAGGGTTTAGAGTCATGAATAAATTTTTAAAGTATTTTCAATCATTTTTTCTGGCTCTTCAGTGTAAAATAGTTGATTGCCTCCATGTTTCCTGAAGCTCTCTTTTTTTGTTTGTTTTCATTTGATGAAGGAAGATACTAAGAGTCGATTGAGAAGATAATGAAAACTTTGAAAAACTGTACCTTATTTTTGTCCAGGCTCAGCGGGGTGGCCTTCAGGAGTGAGAGTAGCATGACCAGGTGCACCGGTGCTGGTATTTCTGAGCCTGCCTCACCTGTTAAGTAGAAGAACCTGTTAGGTTTCCACGAGGTCACACACCAGTTCCTGTCCTGCCATTGGGGACTTTCAGTTTGTTCTTGGATGGTTTTAACAATCTTTTCATTTTAAAGCTTTCTTTAAAAGAATCATCTCTCCCTTTTTAGTAATTATTGATTTATACCAGTTTATTCGGGGACATAATATTGTTTATATTATTTTTCTGTGTTTACCTCCTGAAAGTAGTGAACACATTTCTCAAGTTTCTTTGGATGAGCTAGTTTTATATTTTTCTATTTTCTTGAAAAATAAAATAAGGCTTGGTGCCTGTAGCACAGTGGTTTTGGTGCCAGCTATATACACCCAGGCTGGCAGGTTCAAGCCCAGCCTGGCCCAGCTAAACAACAATGACAACTGCAACAAAAAAATAGCCAGGCATTGTGGCCAGCGCCTGTAGTCCCAGCTACTCTACTGAGGGTGACAAAGTGAAACTGTCTCAAAAAAGAAAAAATTCCTGCAGCCTCAGAGATAAGTCACTAAGATAAAGAAAAGAATGTTTAAGTCATTCTGGAAAGCCCAGGGAAAACTCAGCCGTACAGTGATTTGGAAGGTGGTAAAGCCCTCCCCTGACTGGGCAATCTGATGGAAAAAATGCATTGCAGGTCCCTCGGCTCTTAGGGTCCTGGGGACAGGGCACAGCAGGACCACAGGCAGTAGGCACAGCACAGAATCAGTGGTTTCTTCATTGGTGTACATTTCTCTCACTTCCTGGGTCCTCACTTGTCTTCTCTGCTTGATTCTGTCATGGTAGGTTGTGGAAAGGAGGAGAACCCCAGCTGAAATTCGAGAGGAGTTTGAGCGGCTGCAGAGAGAGAGGGAAGAGAGGAGGCTGCAGCAGCGTACGAATCCCAAGGTAAGCCGGGGGCCAAGTTTAATGAGGACACGTTGAAAGCCGCCATCACCTGAAACCCTGTCTACAATAACTAAGTGGGGGTGGGTTACATCAATAACATAACAGAGCTGAGTGGGACAAAATTCTTCTTACATTATTTCACCTCTGAGGGGTATCTTTCTGGATAGCCAGTCCCTCCCTGATAGCCGTCAGCAAAGCTGCTGCTGGTGATCAGGAGACAAGTATTTGGAACATACTGAGAGAAGACAAAAACCAGTCAATCCCCTGGTTTTCCCAGAAGCCCAGGAGATTTCCCAAGCAGAAATACAGGCTAGTTCTCTAAGACCTTTTCCTCCGACTGTGGCGCCCAAATCCTTGACGCTGAAAACAAGTTAGAGGACAGTGTCAGGAAAGGACAGCCACTCGACTGCATGAGCATTTCAGCAGCAGAACTCCATTCCTAACCAGTTAGAATATGGAGAGCCAAGTGGTGCAGTGTTTGGGGCATTTCCAGATTGTCACGCAGAGCCCCTGCTTCTATCACTCCAGGGCATGCGCCATGAGCACTAGGCACTAGGCACCAGGCACCAGGCTCTTTGAGTATATATCCCAGCCATGTGTCACCTACGATATCCTGGTCAATTTGAGATGCCAAGTTACTGAGGGCCTAATTGAACATGGCACAGTGTACTGCACAACGGTGTTTAATGAGAGGGCTCAGCACGCTGGGTGCAATGGAGCTGCCTGAGCTCACAGGTTCAAGACCACCTAAACCAGAGCGAGACCTTATCTCTAAAAATAGCCAGGCGTGGGCTTGGCACCTGAAGCTCAGTGGTTATGGTGCCAGCCACATACACCAGGGCTGGTGGGTTCGAACACCGCCTGGGCCTGCTAAACAATAATGACAACTGCAACCAAAAAATAGCCAGGCGTTGTGGCTGATGCCTGTAGTGCCAGCTACTTGGGAGGCTGAGGCAAGAGAATCACTTAAGCTCAAGAGTTTGAGGTTGCTGTGAGCTGTGATGGCACCATAGCACTCTACTGAAGGTGACATAGTAAGACTTGGTGACCACAGGGAGTCACATATCATGAGCTGTTCTTCTCTTTTTCTTCTCTTTTTCTTTTCTTTTTTTTTTTTTTTTTTTTTAGATAGTCTCTCATAATACCCATCAGTCTTTCTCTCTGGGGGCAGCCCTTTTGAGCACCTCTAGAAAAGACCAGTTGATGTCAGTTCATCAGACGTCATTGCTGCCTTGTTGTGAACTTGTTTAGATCCCCTGTGGGCAGAGCAGAGAATTAAGTGCGGATTGTTTGGAGGGGGCTTGACCATCCATCTCTGAGAGCACATGTTGCTTTATTTTTTTGATCCTATTACAGAATAATTTCGTGGAGATTATTACATTATTTCCTGGACCATTCCATTCTTTTGCTGCTATAGAGGTTACTATAAACTTCCTGGCGAGACCCCATTGGTCACTGGAAAGGCTCTGTTATCAGCATGGTTCACACAATGTCTGAGAAACACAGTTCAGCTGTGTCACAAAGAAATTGTAGGTGATGTATCACATAAGGCATATACCATAGTAATATTTCTAAATCCCAGTGTTTTTACAAAGATATGAGTACATTAATTAATTATTTTGAAAAGATTTTTTTGTTTTTTAATTTTTGGTTGCCGTGGCTAGTGGTTACAGCCATCAGAATGAGCTGTGCTTTAACTTCAGTGTGTTCTGTGGAAATGATTCTGATGTCATAAAACTGACTCAGCTTGGCTGGCAGGATAATAGAGCAGAAGAAAAGCTGTTGATGCCCATATGTTTGTTGTGTTCAATGGCAGGAAGGGGCAATTTGCCGTATGCAGAAATGGGCTGCTGTTGAAATTGGAGAGATTGGGAAGCTGTTGCATTAGGAAAAGGGACAAAAGCCTGGCTGATCTGGGCCTTCGGAGAAGAGTCATGGCTTTGGTGATGTGTGTGGAAGGTGCAGAGGATCTGGAAGATGAAAAGCTGTTTGTCTTTAAGTATTAGTTAGAGGGCTCTTCCCTCCATCCTGTCCCCATAATCACTTACAAACAAGACTTTAGCATCAGACTCCTGTTTGGGGGGTAGGGGGGAATGCAGTGGGGGCAGTAGTAGTGGTTGGGCCGGATTGGTTTTAGAAACCCTGGTGCTTCTGAGTTTGGTCCTCCATAAAATTAAAAAATTCAAGTTCTTTCATTTCAGATAAAATGATTCCGTAGGAATAGTCATCACCAGGGCCATCCTGGGTTCATCGTATCTCACATTGCCTCTTCTCCCTTGTTTTGGTGGAGTTGTCCTTTAGGGAAGACTTTGGCAGAGCCACCTGTCCACTGTCTTCTCAGATTAATAGGTCTGTAACAGCGGTGTCTTCTGCAATGCTTCGCACGTATCATCCTGCCCACCAGTGACCTTTCCTCATGCCTGTAATCCCAGCACTGTGGGAGGCTGAGAAGAGAGAATTGCTTGAGCTTAGGAGTTCAAGACTTGCCCGAGTGAGAGTAAGACCCCAACTCCTAAAATAATGAGCAACCCAGCCAGGCGCTGCAGTGAGCGCCTGTAGTCCCAGCAGCTTCGGGAGGCTGAGGAAGTGGGATGCCCACAGCCCAAGTCTGAGGTTGCAGTGAGCTGTGATGCCACTGCACTCTGCTCAGGGCATAGGATAGGACTCTGTCTCAACAATAACAACAACAACAAAAAAAGCAAAGAAATAAAAATAATAAGAGGGGAAAAAAAGACCCACAAAAATTCCTCATGTTGTCCTTATGAGCAGATAAATAATTCAGCATGGGGCGGCTCTTGGGGCTCAGTGGGTAAGACGCTGGCCCCTGTATACCGAGGGTGTTGGGTTCAAACCCGGCCCCAGCCAAACTGCAACAAAAAAATAGCTGGGCATTGTGGTGGGCACCTATAGTCCGAGCTACTCGGGAGGCTGAGGCAAGAGAATCTCTTAAGCCCAGGAGATGGAGGTTGCTATGAGCAGTGTGATGATCTACCAAGGGCGATAAAGTGAGACTCTTGTCTCTACAAAAAAAGAATAATAATAATAATTCAGCATGGGTAGTGTGGATGTGCTAATTTGATCACGATGATCATGAACAGTGTACATGTGTCACATCATCATGTACACCTTGACTATATTATATAATCTTTTATTGTCAATTAAATATTTTAAAAATTTAAGAAAGATTTGAAACTCCCCAAAATAAACAACTGGTTCTACTCACAGAAGCCCGATGAGTAACTTGGTAAGAAGCTTTTCATGGTGGGACGGAGGCTCCAGTTCACCATGCTCCGAATCTCTGAGGGATATTAATGAAGACATGCTTTTCACACTCACAGTTGACACACAGCTGAGGGAGAAACCGAAGATTCTAAAAGAGTGATCAGGAATGCAGGGTTTAAACTGCAGAGTAAAGCTTAGCGGGGATAAATGTGCCAGCTAAGAAGGGGACATGGGCTCGGCGCCTATAGCTCAACCGGCTAAGGCTCCAGCCACGTACACCTAAGGTGGCGGGTTCGAATCCCCAGCCCAGACCCGCCAAACAACAATGACGGCTGCAACCGGAAAAAAAAAAAAAAATAGCCGGGCGTTGTGGCGGGCACCTGTGGTCCCAGCTACTTGGGAGGCAGAGGCAGGAGACTCACTTGAGCCCAGGAGTTGGAGGTTGCTGTGAGCTGTAATGCCACGGCACTCTACCCAGGGGGACAGCTTGAGGCTCTGTCTCAAAAAAAAAAAAAAAAAAAAAGAAGGGGACATGGTAAAAATGGTAGGTTTTCACTGACTCACTGGGTTAATATTAGCAATTTTGTGGGTTGGGGGGAAAGCTGGTTGATTTATTCACAAAGTAATTTAAATTGATTGCCTGTCCTGTGTTAGGCACTGTTAGAAAGTGGACATTTGGCAGAGAACAGAACAGACAAAAACCTAACCCTGTCGCTAACCCTGTCGTGGAGCTTAGCATTCTAGTTAATAAGCAGATAATATGCAATAAATGAAATATGCTGATTACACACTAGAGTGAGGGAGGAAGGGCTGCCATTTTAAATTGCTGGTCAGGCCTCACTGAGGAAGTGACTCTGGAGCAGGGAGGGAGGAGGTGGCCAACACAAAGGCCAGAAGTGCAAGTGGGTCTGGAAAACCCAGGAACAGTGAACAGGAGGGACAATATGGAGGGAATTCGTGGTTGAAGTCAGAGGTGCAGCCTCCACTTCCTGAGTGTGAGCCAGTGTAGGGGTGGAGGGCGGGCTGAGCAGGGAGGGCGTCCATCTGGGCTGAGTGCTACTGCATCAGGAGTGGCTGACGTCCTCCAGAGAAGAGGACGAGGCCGGGCCTGGTCTCTTCTGCTCCAAGCCTTGCCTGTGAGTAGTGGTGTTATTGGGTTATGTTAGATCCTTCTGAGCAAGAAATAGGTAAGGCTTACTGACATAAGAGCACTACTGATTTAAAATATGCCTTTAAAGACCTTTTGGAGAGGCTCTGCATCTGTACCTCAGTAGCTAGGGCACCAGCCACATACACCGGAGGTGGCAGGTTCAAATCCAGCCCAGGCCTACTAAACAACAATGATAACAACAAAAATAGCCAAGCATTGTGGCGGACACCTATAGTCCCAGCTACTTGGGAGGCTGAGGCAAGAGAATTGCTTAAGCCCAAAATTTGAGGTTGCTGTGAGCTGTGACGTCACAGCAACTCTATTGAGGATGACAAAGTGAGACTGTCTCCAAAAAAAAAAAAAAGTGTTGGAGATTTTTTTTTTTGGAGACAGAATCTATTTGTCACCCTCAGTAGAGTACAGTAGAGAATCTGTCACCCTCAGTACAGTCACAGCTCTACACCCTCTAGAGTATAGTAGAGTCACAGCTCACAGCAACCTCAAACTCTTGAGCTTAAGTGATTCTTTTACCTCAGCCTCCCACAATGCTTGGCTTTTTTTTGTTGCAGTTGTCATTGTTGCTTAGCTGGCCCGGGCTGGGTTCGAACCTACCAACCTTGGTGTATGT